ATGCGGGTTCCGGGGCCGAGATCTCCAAGCCTACTCGGATTTGGGCCGAGCATCCTCCACCCAGATCCTCCAAATTCCAGTAGGCGGGGGTCACACCCACCAACTGGCCCCCTGGCGCCGTGTAATCCCATCAATGGCCAAGACTCAGAGACTATAAAAACCAGCTCCCGGAACCGTGAGACCGCGAATAAGACATCTTATTATGACACCTTATTATCTCATTCCTACTTTGGACAAACTGGCAGGTTACCGAATGTAGCCTGCCCACACGGCAGAGTCTGGCAGACTCTCCGTGGCGTACCCAATATGCCAAATACCAGTAACAATGATGGATCTCATTCTCCTAAAGAGCTTTGAATATAATCTCAGGGCTAGGATGAAAGAGACATTACTGGGGCCTGCTCGAGGCAATCGATGAATAACAAATACCCATCCCTCCACCAGTGCCCATTTCCCACCACCACGGATACCAGTATCCCTACCACCCCCCAGGCCCCCATCCCACCCTGCCTCTGTGGCAGGGCATTCCCTTTTGTTCTCTCTCTCTCCTATTGGGTGTTGTGGTTTGCAAAAGAGGCAATGAGTGGCAATCATGTTTGGTCTATAGTCTACTTTCAGCATGCTTCTCCCATCCTGGGAGGATCCTCCCAACACCCTTTATTTGGTTCTCCCTTATCTCTCTGAGCTCCCTTTTCCCTTGTCATGTGTGGCTGGCCTCCAAGCCATGGAGTAAAATTCCTGGTACTAATCTTGGCCATTCTTGGGTGTTAGTCTCCTATTTTGTTACTTTATGTTTCCCAGATGAATGCAATCTTTCTATGTCTATCCCTCTCTTTCTGACTCATTTCGCTTAACATGATACTTTCCATGTAGTACCACTTGTATGTAAATTTCATGACTTCGTCTTTTCTAACAGCTACATAGTACTCCGTTGTGTAAATGTACCAAAGTTTCTTTAACCAGTCATCTGTTCTCGGGCATTCAGGTTTTTTCCAGATTCTGGCTATTGTAAAGAGTGCTGCAATGAACAAACAAGTGCAGATGACACTTCAACTATACTTGTTTGCCTCTCTGGGATATATTCCCAGGAGTGGTATTGCTGGGTCAAATGGGAGCTCATTTTCTAATTTTTGGAGAATCGTCCATACTGTTTTCCAAAAGGGCTGAACAAGTCGGCATTCCCACCAGCAGTGAAGGAGGGTCCCTTTCTCGCCACATCCGCGCCAGCACCAGTTGCTTTTGTTCTTGTGGATGTGGGCCAGTCTCCGTGGTGTGAAATGATATCTCATTGTGGTTTTGATCTGCATCTCCCTGATGATTAATGATGTGGAGCATTTTCTCATGTGCCTTTTAGCCATTTGGATTTCTTCTTTGAGAAATTTTCTATTCATTTCATTGCCCCATTTTTTGATGGGGTTGGATATTTTCTTCTTGTGGAGTTTAACCAGTACTTTGTATATCCTTGATATCAACCCCTTGTCAGATGTGTATTTGGCAAATATCCTTTCCCATTCTGTAGACTGTCTTTGTATTTTGGTCACTGTTTCTTTGGAGGTGCAGAAGCTTCTTAGTTTAAGATAGTCCCATTTGTCTATCTGTTTTCACTTGCTTGGCCAGTGGCGTTACATCTTTGAAGATACCATTAGCCTCAGTGTCATGGAGAGTTTTTCCAACTTTTTCTTCAAAATAAAGCCACGCCCACTTTACAGAAGCTACGCCCACTCATAAAGTGGCCACACCCCCACGGGTACCTGGTGTGGGGGGGAGTAAAGACTGGGTGGAGGAGAAGACCAGCTCAGCTTGGGGGATGAAAAGGAAGAAGCAGAGAGGCTCAGAGCTGCTTTGTCTCCCAAGGTCTGAGAGGACGCCTGGGGGGGGGGCTTACAGGGTGAAATCCAAGTCCCGGGTTCGAGAAGTGGCGGATAAACTGACCTGGGTGGGGAGAATACCAGCTCAGCTGGGTGGGGAGAAGACCAGCTCACCTTGAGGGACGAAAAGGAAGAGGCATAGAGGCTCTGAGCTGCTTTGTGTCCCAAGGTCCGAGAGGACGCCTGGGGGGCTTGCAGGGTGAAGTCCAAGTCCCGGGTTCGAGAAGCAGTGGATAAACTGACCTGGGTGGGGAGAAGACCAGCTCAGCTTGGGGGACGAAAAGGAAGAGACAGAGAGACTCAGAGCTGCTTTGTCTCCCAAGGTCCGAGAGGACACCTGGGGGGCTTGCAGGGTGAAATACAAGTCCCGGGTTTGAGAAGCGGCAGATAAACTGACCTGGGTGGGGGTAAGACTAGCTCAGCTGAGGGGACGAAAAGGAAGAGCCATCTGGACCTGTTTGGGGTAAGAATTTTTTTATTTCCATTTCAACTTTTTCAGTAGTTATAGGTCTGTTCCAACTATTATTGTGTTGTTATTAATGTCTTACTTGAAGTGTCTGTTTGCAGTCATTTTAAGTATCTTGCTGGTCCTTCATTTGGTATGAGTTCTCGCTGATGTACATATTCCTTGACCATTAAGAAAGGACTCTCTCCACCTCTTATAACCTTTTAAATCCTGAAACTTATGTTGTCTGATAACAGTATGGCCACACTGGCCTTTTAGTGGGGGTTGTTTACTGAAAATATTTTCTTCGCAACCTGTGATTTTGAGGCTATGTTGTCTCTTACTGTTCAGATGTGTTTCTTATAGGCAGCAGAAGGTTGGATTCAATTTTATAATCCATCCTATCTTAATTGGTGCATTTAGGCTATTGACATTGAGTGAGATTATTATCATGGAGTTTTGTGCCATCTTTTTATAGCAGTCTGGAATATTTTTGAAATTTATCTTGTCTTAAAGTAGCCCCTTTAATTCTTCTTGTAAAGTTGGTTTTGAGTCTATGAAGTTCCTGAGCTGCGACCTGTCCATGAAGTTCTTTATCATTCTTTCAAATCTGAACAAGAGTCTAGCTTGGTAAAGTATTCTTGGTGAGACATTCATTTCATTGAAGTCATTTTTGGTTTGGTTTGGTTTTTCCCATATCCTACCATTGTGTATGGTGTGACATAGGGGTCCAGTTTAATTCTTTTACTTATGCTTTCATTTTTTACAGTTTCCTCAACAACATTTATTGAAGAGACTTTTTTTCCTCCATTATACAGCTTTAGCTCCTTTGTCATAAATTTACTATCCATATATGTAAATGTTTATTTCTGGACTCTCAGTTTTATTCCACTGGTCTGTGTTTCTGCTTTTATTACCATACTGCATTCTACTTTTGTAGTGTAAAGTCAGGGAACATAAGGCTTCCTGTCTTCTTTTGTCTCAGGATTGCTTTAGCTATTCAGGAATTTTGTGGTTCTATACAAGTTCTAATAATGTTTTTCTGTAACTGTGAAGAATGTTTTTTGAATTTTGATAAGGATTGAATTGAATCTGTATACTATCTTCCATAGTAGGATGGTTGTTTTAATAATTCTCCCAATCCAGGATCATTTCCCAATCCATGTCCATTTCCATGTACTTTTATTTCTGTTACCAATAATTTAGGTTTTTTATGTGTAAGTATTATGCCTCCGTTGTTGATTCCTAGGTACTCAGCCCCAAAACTGGTGTACCTGGAATTTTTCATTGGTTTGTCATCTCTGCAGAGATTAGTCATGATGCAGTGAGATTGGGCCATGTGAATGGTTTGGATGGCAGAGACTGGAGTGTGTGGGGGTAACCAGTCTATAGTTTTCTTTTGTGATGTCGCAGTCTGGGTTTGGTATTAGTGCAATGGTGTCTATTCAGTAATAAATATTTACTTGTGAAGCTGGTCTTACTGCTAAATTTGGATTTTATGTCCTGATTACTCTAAATGCTGTTTCTATCTTTTCAAAATAACATTATCAGGTATCATTGTCTTTCAACTTAAAAACATCATTATAATTCAGCTGTGCATATGTTGTGAGTAGTTTAATCTTTTCATTAATAACTAGATTTAGTTATAGCCCTCACTTCAATATTAGTAGAGAATAAGGCAAAAAACATTGTTGACTTTTGGGAGGGAAATTGCAATTCATAAATGTATTTTTAAAATATGTGGATAATAAAATCAATCACTTAAAGATTACAAAAATTTGTAAATTAAAGCATAATAAAGTGTTATTGCAGTGAGCGTAATTTTTAAGCTGTAGTAATACGAGCAAGACTATACTACAAAACCATAATTTAAGACTATAATTTTGGAGTATAGAGCAATAAAAGTATATCAGGTAGGGCATTTGCTTTGCATGTGGCTAATCTGTGTTTGGTTTCTGGCCCACATATCGTCCCCAAAGCCCTGCCAGGAGTGATACCTGAGTGCAGAGCCAGAATTAAGTCCTGAACACTTCAAGTATGGGCCAAAGCTCCAAATGTATGTGTGTAGTTATATGCATATATATGTAGTTATATGCATATATATGTGTGTGTGTATATATATGTGTAAAACTACACATATATATATACACACATACATATATGTGCACACATATACAAAATTAAAAGATATCTATAGGACAAGTAGAGAAAAAAAAGTGTATCTATTATAGAATTTGGGGGTTAGAATTACTTGTGTCATAAACTTTTCTTTGACTTTGCCATTCTAGTTGTCATCCACTGAAAAGAAAATTAGTCAAAGGTGATATAGATATAGTCTCTAGTATTTTTATATATTTTTATCATTCTAATAATGAAATTTTAATCCATGTGTAAAATCTTAAGATGCACTTTGTAATAAAGCTATACTTACAGGGAATTATGCTAATTTGTGTTTTATGATCATTAAAGAGGTTTCAATAAGAGTTACTCATAAAACTGGATTCTGCCTAGTTTCCAGTGAAGAGAAACAACCCTGCTCTTTTCTCTCCACCAAAGAAAGTATAGTGTGATTCAAATTCATAAGTTATATTGGGAGAAGTATTCCTTAACAGGTCTTTTATTTGCTTATTATTTTAGGAGCAGCTAATAGGTTCAAGAAAATAAAGTTGCCTTCTTCCTTCCTCCAGGTATTCATCTATATCATTGTGTCACTTCTTTGTGGTGGATTCACCTGTGTGAAGAAATAAAAAGAAAAAAATGTTATTAACCAAGGATATGAGAGAACAGGAGTTGGAAGCAATCCATGTGACTCAAGCCTTTTAAAACCAACAGATGATTCTACTAGTCTCTTCAACCCCTTTCTTTTTGTAATGTTGTTCTTTACTTTCAGATTTATCTTTGTCCTCTTAACCAGTTTATTCCATAATACTTCAGACTGATTGATACAATAATGTCTTTAAAAGGCTTAGCATCTGTTTCTTTGGTTTATTAACATATTGTCATCTACTTAGAGAAAGTTTTCTATGGTTGTGCAAAATTGTCACCAAGGTAGAAATAACCATTCTTAACATCTGTCTACTAAAACTATGCAGGAAATTAATATGTGTACATAAAAGAAGTACTTGAGATACAGTATTAAGTAACATCTTAACATGCTTAATTATTGATGAGTTTGAGGTGCCTCAAACAATGTAGCTGGAGAATAGTTGTTATTTGGAGAATTAAAATCAGATTGTTGGTGCTGCTTGTTTTTAGGAGTCCCAGCTGATAACATATTAACATTGTCTCTGCCAGTTGTAGGGAACATATTGTTAAGCTCATTAGAAGCACAGGAATTATCCTTGCCCTCATACTGTTCACTTTCAGGAATAAAGTTGTACCCTTTCATAAACCTCATATCTGTTTCCCAGTGGCAGTTGGTTTGAGAAGATGATTTTAAAATGTTGAAGATGGTTGTTTTTCGTATATTCCTTTTCACTGGATGTTTAGGACTGTTGTCTAGTTAATGAATGAGTAGTGGAGGAAGAAGAGACACAAATTCCTCTGACCAAAGATTGTGAAGAGAACAACTGTGGATTGTTAGTTTTTTAGTTGTTTGAAGGAGGAAAGTGGGAAGTTTTGTCAAGTCTGGGAAAAGCCCCCATTGGATAAAGTTAATAGTTGACTCCATGGTCTGGGCTTAACTGCTATTTAATATAGTTTGAGCATTTTTTTATGGTTAACTAATTTCTTTAATCTGCCCAGTTTTGAGAAACCTTTTGTGAAACTAGAGAGTGATATTTAGAAGCAATACAGACAATTTAACAGCTACTTAGCTATAGTATGAAAAACTAGAGTGTACTCGTACTGCTTCAAATTGTCATCTCTGAGTATGTTATTTTTGGTGTTTATTGAAAATGAAAATATTTGCTGTCATAGATCAGATTGCATTTATCAGTAAGTGCCGGTATGTGGAAATTATCTTAAAGTTGATCAGCTCCTTAATGAAAGAACAATCATTCTATAAAAATTAGCCACCTGTTTAGCCTAACCATGTGCCTTGAATATATATGTTTCACATAATCTGGCTTATGCTTCCTGTTGTTCCATCTAAATATTTTGACTCGTGCTATCTGAATCATTTTTTGACATATATTTTTCAGACTTACTGGAACTCTCTTCCCAGTAGTCATGCACAGTGTAAATGTTTTTCCAGTATCATTCATCAATACTAATGCCTTTTCATTACATCAGCATTTCCTATTGGAAAACTTATCTGCTCCTGGAAAACATTTGGCATTCTAGCATAGTAATTTCCTAACATCTTTAATTCAAGGAGAAGTACCTAAGATTATGTCCCTTCCTTTAATATATACACCTAAATAAAACTGATGTGCATGTTTTAAGGATCAAATACTTAACTGCCCCTTGGTATATTTATGTAATAATGCTTTTAAAAGTACATATCTTGTTTTAAATAATACATGAATTTGAGAGCATTAATAAAATTTAAGAGAATTCGGTGAAAATTTCTTGTTTTAGACATTTTTAGTGGAATCTGATTCTTTTGATGACATGTTTCCATAATCTACAGAACAACAGTGTTTTACTTAACCTAAAAATGCATTAAAAGTCTTACCAGTAGCTTTCAGTAGTTATAAAATTGTCTCAGTAGAACAAAAATTGCTTTTTAACCAAAAGACATAAAACCCTAAAATGACCATGTAGACTATACTAAAAACCGTGAAAGATCCTAAAATGGCCACACAACTTTCACAGCTCTCATCCTAACATCATGGTTGAGAGAGAACAGAAAAATGACTACAGGCATTATAGCCAATTCTGTCTAACTCTGAAAAATCTAAAGTTTAATTATTGGATTAAAAGAGATGACACAAAGGGATGCATAAGGGTAGAGAATCATAATAGTAAACAGATTTAGCAATAATATTCAGCAACAAGGTAAGATGAAATCATGAAATTTGCCATAACATAAATGGAACTGAAGGATTTTATGTAGGATAGAAGGACAAGGTCAACACTGGTGTTCTGTATACTAATCTATTGTATATAGAATAACATGTCTAGGGAATGGTAACAAAGGTGTATGAAACAGTGGCTCTATATTATAGAAATAATGACAAGGAAAAAGGGAAATGGAGAGGGAGTAAACAAGAAGTTGGACATCTGGAATAAACAGGGTCGAGATCAGGGGCATTGGGCCCCTCTATGGTGTAGAGGTAAAGTATCTGTATAGATCTAAACCACTATATTCAACACTACTTTAAGTATGGGACCCAACTACAACAAATTAAGATAAATATAATTGTCAAGGAGTCAGGTTTCCAGGTAAGAAGTAATTTGTAGCAAGTAGTGGAGAGATGGGGCATATAATGGGATTGGAGGTAGAACATTGTTTGCCTGAAAACCAATTGTAAACAAGTATATACATACATACATATATATATATGTATATTTGTTGTGGACAAATTTTTTATACATTTGATCTTTAACCATTTTTGTCCTTTTCCTGTTTCACTAATCTATTTTCTTAAAAAATTATTTAGACACTTGGCCAGAACAACAACAAAACCAGTCACTTGAAGTATTTTAATCAATGCAACTGAGACAAAAAAAATGTAGACAATGTTTTGTAAAGGCTAGAGTAACTCAACAACCCATTTGACTTCTCCCCAGTGATCTTCTAGGTTTCAACTGAAGCTTGCATTTATAGAGGTTTTTTTTAATTGATTAGAACAAAGTAGCACCAGCTTTTTTTCTTCTAGCCAATGGCCCTCAGGATAAATGTGTAAGACTTTGGGTTTGATTCTGATCACCACATGGCCCCTCAAACATTGCCTTATATGACTCCTAGCCATCAAGCACTGCTGGATTTCGGTTCCACAATATTTTTTTAAAGCTTATCATGTGGAAGAGTGATGGTGGTGTCCCACATCAAACCCAGTGGTTTACCAAGGTATCCATTTGAATTCAGTGATGAATTAGAACCAAAACATGTATTATTCAAATAAAGGGTTTAATATGGAAGGGTTGTGCTAGAGAATCAAAGTAACAGCCCTAAGCAATTTCCACCGAAGCACTGGAATTGATGGGAAGTTTGAAACTTGCTGGAAGACTTGAGCATCTTCATAATTCTGATGGCCAAAGCGGATATAAGAAGAATAACATGTGGACAGATTTGTGGAAGCTGTAGCCTCAGTAGGCTGTTGCCAAAATACTCACGACTCCAAATGGTCAGTGGGACCAGGTGTCAGGAGGAGAGAGATATGGAGTGGAACTTAAAGAAAAGATGGGGTAAACCAGGTCTTTTTGCATTTTTGTTTCTCATTGCCCTAACCTTTGGATTGTTTGTTCTCCACTCCTCTTTGGCTTTCTAAATCTTATGTGAGTTCATTTCACTGGAAATGCAGCCCTAACGCTACACAGGGAAAGATGTTTCTAAGAAATTCCCAGCTTCTCTACCCAGTTAAAAAGCTACTCCAGCCCTACCATCCCGATTAAAAAATACTGAATGCCCTGAACAAACACCATGACCTCTCAACACCTGTATTGCAAACGATAATGCACAAAAGGAAAAGGAGAGAGAGCGCAAAAAGGAAAGTGCCTCCTCATAGAGGGAAGCTGGGGCTGGGGGTGGGGTGTTGGGGGATGGTGGCAGGAAAACAGGGGACATTGGTGGCGGGAAATGTACAGTGGTGGAGAGATGGGTGCTGGATCATTGTATGACTGAAACCCAATTCTGAACAGCTTTTTCAATTAAATTTTTTTTCAAAAGTAATGTGGAGTTCATATCCACTTCAATAAGCTTAATCAATGGCTGAATAAATAGCAGTACTACTACATTTAAAAAAGAAAAGAAATTCCCAACTTCTGGGAAGAGCACTGGCTAACAATCCACACAACTTAAGTGTATTCACAGAATCAACAATTTGAGTATTTATACGGTTTATTGTGCAAAATGGTTTTGTATTCATGCAGTTAAGCTAAAATGCATCTGAATTCAGAAAAATTGGGTTTTCTGTACCCCCTTTTTCCAAGGAGAAGAAAAAGTATGGCCTTACTCTGTGGAGGTTTTAGATATAGAGGCTGATGCCCTAATTTACCTTTTTAAATTCCAATTCCAAGTTTGAAACAATACAAAATATTAAGCCCCAGGGCTGTAGAGAGATAGGACAGCTGGTAGGTTTCTTGCTTTGCATGTGGCCAACTTGGGTTCGATCCCCAGAATCCATATGGTCCCTGAGTTCTGCCAGGGGTCATCCCTGAGCACAGATCCAGAAATAATCTGAGGACTGTTGGGTGTGGCCCCAAACCAAAGATGAAAAAGTAAAATGTGAAGTCTCATTCACAGAGAAAATGTTGAGTAGTCCTTGGGATCTCTGTTTCTGGCCATGGCAGAGTAATGGGGATTATCTTTACCCTAGTGCATGTAACAACTCCAAAATGAATATATATATATTTATATAAATGAATATATATAATATTGTATAAATGAATATATCAGCGGTAGGGCGTTTGCCTTGCACGCAGCCAACATGGCCGACCCGAGTTCGATTCCTCCGCCCCTCTCGGAGAGCCCGGCAAGCTACCGAGAGTATCTCGCCCACACGGCAGAGCCTGGCAAGCTCCCCGTGACATATTCGATATGCCAAACACAGTAACAAGAAAGTCTCCAATGGAGACGTTACTGGGCCCGCTCGAGCAAATCGATGATCAACGGGAGGGCCTTTACTTTTACTATATATGAAACAGGTCTTGGGGGACTGCTATAGATATTGAACCTATGACCTTGTATATATGAAGCATTCACCCATCAATTTTGAAGATACTGGACAACAGGAATGAAGAACATTGATACTTCAAAGAAGTGAACTATCAGCCCAGCTTGTTATATTGAGAACATCTTCA